AAAACAAAAGAATTTACTAAATCTTGTTACATAAAAACCATTTAATCACAAAAACATTAAAAAAAAATTACAAAGAAACAGTATTACAGATTTACAGTAACCAATTTTACATTATCTATATAATATATAAATTGAAACCCTCATGGTCTAGAATTACGACAGGTGTCATCCATGTCACCATCCACGTAGCATCCTAATCATGATCCATGTGTCACTACATATTACATATTTAATGTCTATTTAATTATAACTTTCCATAATGTAATATTAGAATATATCATAATGCCATAAATGATATTTTTTATGAGAATTAAATATTTCCGTAATATTCTATATATTAGTATGGTAATCATTAATTATGTTATTTAATAATTATATATCATAATAAATAACATATTCCATAATGACATATATATTTTATGGTAATCATTAAATGACATTTCTTTAACTATGGTTAATTTGTAAAAGTTCTACATTGTTTTAGTAACAATATATTTCTCAATCTATAATATATTGAATTATTATTCTTACATACTAAAATGAAATAATTTTAATTGTATCAATTTAATGCATATAATTTATTTCCTTAAAGATATATATTATTTATCTTTTATTACATAAAACATAAGTATAAATACCTCACTCCACACCCATTATTTCTCATTCATATAACAAAGCACACGGCAAGAAAAAAGGTTTTATACCATAATTCTATTCTTTCATTATTTTAGTTAATTTTTGTTTTTTTTATGTATTATTGTTTATACCCTAAAAGTATTTTTTTATTTGTGTATGGTTTTCAGTTTAATATTTACCATTTGCCTTTCTGTTTGATAATTAATTGTTATTTTTATTTTTTATTAGATGTTCAAATTAGGTCGTTTGCGGAAAGATTTATCTGCCGAAATTTATGAAGGAATGCAAGAAGTGATACTACAAGGAGACATGAAAAAATCTAATATCGAAAAACGATCAAATCGCCTTCTTCGTTTTTGGGGAATAATGTGTATGTTTTTCATTTTTTTACATTGTTTTTGTATTCCAATTTATGGGAAAATAAAATAACACCGATATTAATTATGTTTTTTTCCGGCAACATAAGTCATTATGATTCATTTGTTTCTATGCACATGATAATTACTTGATCATAATTAAATTTACATTATTTTTTTTGTTCCGTCTTTTACGTGTGTGTATATATGATATCTCTGACAATTGTTTTTTGTTTGTTAATGATTTATAGATATGGACGCTGCTAAGTCATGTATTATAAGCGACTAATGTCGGATATGGAAAAAGGTCTATGGATTTGTAGAAAATGTGACTACATCTTGAAACTTCAGAAATCAAAGGTTATATTCATATTTTCTATAACTAATATGTAATTAATAATATATTTTTAATTGATCAATTTTCGTGTAGCATATATCCAAGCAATTTGCAGATGTTGTTGGATACATTGGCCAAAAATATAAATGTTTCTTTGGGATTTATTCGAGGAAGAATCACAGAAGTACAAGGATGGAAAACAAAAAGTGTTGGAAACCATTTTGTGAAGAAAACTAATCAATTTTTGTTTATCTCAACAAAAACGCCACTGGAGTGTATGGTGCAAGTCCAGAAGAAGATTTAAGGTTTTTTTTTGTTTGATTGATTTTTTTATTTTTTTTTTGTGATTTTTTTTAATGTTGGGAGCTTAACAATGTTAAGACATTTTAATTTATTTTGTCTTTTAGTCTTGCTTGGTAATTATAATTAAATTGATAATTTGTGTATATCGGTTTATGAAATATGCCGTGCTCAAATATATATGTACGGATATTATATTAAAATATAATAGTATACTTATGCATATTATTAAAATATAGTAATATATTTCTACATTACAAACTTTTGCCAAATCTTATTTTAGATGTATTTAATAAATTAAAAAAAATCATATTTATTACTTGAAATTC